GCAATGTGCTGTTGCTAGTGGTAGGGCAAATATGATTTTAGGCTGTATCTACAGAAATATTGAATAGAAGTATAGGTCACTGGTTAGGCCACATTTGGAATATTTTGTTCAGTCTATTTGCCCTACCACTAGCAACAGTACACTGCTTGGATGGCTTTAGAGACTGATCAACTATTACATCAAGATACCTTTCTTTCATTACACCATTAAGGTTATTCCCATCCAAATTATACTACAATAAGTCAGTGTAATAAACTTGTCAAATTTAGTTATGCTTATCATACAATGACTAGAGCTTTCTGGGAATCAAATTATTGGAGGCAATACATGTACTGCAAATTCTGTTTATATGACACCAGTAGAATCAGATATTTGTTCTGACTCATAACTTGTAGGTTTGTTTTTTTTTTTCAACTTATCCCTCCTTTTACAGCTGCATGAGAAAGTACAGGATTTCATATATTAGCTATACAGATGGTTTAAAGTACAGTACAAAGATAAAAAATTCTAAAAGATTTCTGTGTATCAACATCACAGATTCCTTACTGTTTATACAAAAGTAGAAGAATCATAGACACTTTTGTATGTACCCATAAGCTTTATAATATCATGAACAAAGAAAAACAAAGAAGGCATGGACCAGATGTTGGACACACCCCCTTGTGAGGTTGCACAGAGGAAATTTTATTACACTATGTCCATTCCTACCTTGTTTCCTCACCCTACAATGGCATACCACATACTTCTTAGTTTCCAAATATTTTCACACAGTGCTGTAGGTCAAGAAAACCGCACTCCCTTCACTGTTTTGATCACATCTACTCAGTGTACAGAGTGAGCAAGTAGACGTGTACTTTAAAATGGTATCCCTGATCAAGATATTACCTGAAGTACATCAAATATCTCTTCTTTTGGTGATGTTTAGTATTTTAAAAAATGGCAGCAATAATGCATGGTCCCTGTACTATTTTTCAATTTGCTGCACTTATACATGTGGTAAGTCTGTTTGTTACACAGCTAGAAGCATTCAAGCATGTCGGTTGGTCAGTGAGATTGAAAAATTTGTGGTTTAGTGAAGTTTTGTATCTGGTTTTGTACATGGTTTATTTATCATCTAATGGTATTTTTGAAGATTTATTATTATATAACTTATAAATACTACTGTACTTGGGATAACACAAAGAGTAAGTTCCATTACAAATATTTAAAATTAAATACACTTTTTGGTGTCTAGCTATATCATATTCATATAGCAGTAATTTGGTAATAGAATACAGTATATGGGATCATTACACTTACAAGTTACAGTATTGCCTTGGTTTATCTTTAGTTTAAGTAGTTTTTCTCGGTCAAATTAAACATGGGGTAACAAAAAATCTTAAATTATTACCACTTAATTTACCATTACAGTATTGAAAAGTACCTCTCCAACGGCAAGCTGAACACTTCTCAACAGCCTGTCTTTAGCTTCATCATCAGCTTCTAAAGATGCAACTGCTTCTATAACTGGAACACTTTCAATCGGAGACACCATCTCGGTAGACATATGAACATTCAAATGACTGAATTTCACACATAACTGAAAAATTCAGTTAGATTACACAACATCAAAAGCCCCCTTCCATACATTCCTCTGGGTCAAACAACAAACTACTGTTACTTGTCTGATGAAGTCTAATGATTACTAGTAAATTGACATCTGGTGTCACGAAATAGAAAAACGAAAGTGTTTTATTTTAACATTTCTTTATAAAAGAAATAACAGTTCAATGAAGAACAGACACGAAATATCGATGTGTAAAGTATCTTTTAAAGGTTTTGACAACTATAGCTCTAACTTACACATAGAACCTCACTTTGGTTTCTCAATAAACTATGTTAGAATACAATAGAAATAGGAATGAGCAGTCAGTATCTCTAGCACCTACACTTTTTCAGTTTAAAAATAATAGTTTATGAAACTAGAATGTTTAAGTTTCTATTTTTCAAGAATTTCAATTCAAACATCGTTTAATAATTTTTCAAATAAAAATCACGTAGCCAAATTACTTAACGCCTACTATCATCAGAATTCCAGGTCGAAATACAGTAAAACAAAACCAAAACCATAATAAGAACATCGGAGCCAGTAGATTGTAGCCAACGAGGCCATAACGTGTTGGCTTAACGCGTTTGTCGATGTTCAATTTGGTTTGGTTTGTTTGTTATGAATTTCGCGTAAAGCTACACGAGGGTTATCTGTGCTAGTCGTTCCTAATTTAACAGTGAAAGAATAGAGGGAAAGCAGCTAGTCATCACCAC